GAATCTCTTAAGGCTGTCCAAGGACTAACTTTTTGTTCTCTTTAATCTTTTTTTGCCTATTAAAGGAAGTTTATTTGTGTAGATATAGATATAGAGATATAGATAGAGATATAGAGATAGAGATATAGATATAGATATAGATATAGATATAGATATGTTTGTATATGCACATACACCACATGTGTGTATATAGAAGTATTTATCTGTATATATGTTTATGTATGCATCTACACCATATATATATGCATATATACACCATAAATATATATATGGTGAACATGCATATATATATACATATACACCATAAATAAATATATATATATGGTGAGCATGCATTTATACACAATAAATATATATGCTGAACATGTATATGTGCACCATACATACATTTGTATGTATGATGTGTATTTGCATGTGCTCCATATACTTACATGCATATATACACCATATATACAGATAAACCTCCTTTAAGAGGAAAAAATATATTAAAGAATACGCATGTGTGAGTTTTGGCTGATCAGATCTGCATATCAGTAGTTCCTGGACTCCCACTAGGACAAGCAATCTAATTGCTGCAGAGAAACCCGCTCACCATTTATCATAAAATGGATTTATTTAAATTTCCCCATACATCTGCAGTTCTGCAGCAATCTGGATTTCAAGGCACGAATGACTGGAAACAGAAGCTGCCCTTGTCCTGATCTGAACCAGCCAGAATGGAAAGTGCAACTTTAGCAGCTGGTTTTTTGGAAAAGTATAGATACTTCCTTTACAGAAATTCATACTTGATACAATTTCTAAACTTCTCATTACTGTTGCAAGGCGGGGGTTTTTGCGATCTAAGGAGTCATAAGTGTGTTGTATCTTGTGATAGCATGCACATGATCCATCGCTGTCCGTTAATCATTGCTAATTGCAGCAGATAATCTCTCTGAGGCAGTATCTGAGGTTTTAAACTTGAGGGAAGCAGAGCAGTGTGCGGAGATGCTGCTGAGGTCCTTTCAGGGGATTTTGGCACATCAAGGACCCTCTGTGTGGTTCCCATATTCCTTTCAGCTCCAAGCCTGTCCCCGCTCTGTAGAAGGAGAGCGGGGAGTGGCAGCCAGCAAGGCCGGGAGCCAAATGATGCAATCCATGGCCAAAGGATTCGCTTCTGACCGGCGGCTGCTGAACTTGTGGAGGGGTTTGGCTGCCTCCCAAGCTCCCAAAATGGCCCCTTTCAGAGCCCTTCGGGGCGTCCTTCCTGCACGGCGAACGGATTTTGGGAATGTATGCCTTTTAGTGGAAATGACTGTGGTCACCTCCTGGTATTTGAAAGCTCTGCTTCCCTTCTCGTGCTGCGTCTGCAAAGTGGTGCCATGCTCCTGTGAATATCCAGAGAAAACGCATCCCTCCCCGAGTGCCGCCGCAGCCACGCGATGCTCCCTGTGTGTGCTCGTTGAGCCAAGAGTTAAAATTCCTTCCAAGTGGCTTTGATGAATGGACGCATTTTTTTACTCAATATGGGGTTTTGGCTTTTGTAGCTAAGTGGGCTTTTAGTTTTGTCCTTTTTATTCTATTGCTCCTTGTAGAGATTTTTCTGACCGCTGCAGTGCTTTAACAATGGGTTATAGCCATTGGCCCGGTTAAGCATGCAGGGAAAATTGCTTTGAATGTGGTATTAATCAAAGCGGCCATTGAAATGAAAGGATAACTGCTGAAATATATTTGAAATAATCTGGAAATTAAAAGGACTAGTGCTGGTTTTCAGAAAGGGCTTCCAATATTGGGTGTAGTCTCCTTCTACAGCCACTAAAGACGCAAGAAATCCACTTATTTCAGAAAACTCTGAGCATCCGCCTTCTGAAAGTCAGTGTTTCCTGGTGGGGCCTCAACATTTGCTGGACACCTCTGTGTAGTCACCATGAGGAGCATAAGTAAATGTATTTATGTAGTTACTATAAGGAAAGCAGCTGCTTTAAAAATGCCAGCTTTTTCCAAGCTTTAGGTTGAGGTTTTTGTTGTTTGTTTGTTTGTTTTCCAGAACTAAGCACAGATGCTTAGGTCAGACTCGTGCTAAATGCGTGTTCAATCAAAATATATGTACGTTTTTTCAAGATTGTAATACATTTTTGTTTCTTGTTTGATTCCCAGTGGAGCTGGAGCACAGGATCGACTTTGAGCTCAGGGAAGGCCTGGTAGAGAGCAGATACTGGTCCGCAGTCACGTCCCACACTGCCTATTGGTCATCTCTGGATATTGCTCTCTTCCTCCTCACCTTCATGTACAAACATGACCAAGAAGACACCGACAAATCCAATTTGGATGCTATTTGAGTTTTTTGACTGGGGATGGGGAGGGACGGGAGAGGAAATTTTAAAACAAATGGCACAGAACTGACGTTTTACTGCTGCCCTGCAGTATCTGTGGCATGGAGGTTTCAGGTTTAAGTGCATGTTTGGATTTTATTCCTATTTCTAAAGAGCAAAAAATGATTTGTATTTAGAAGCACTTTATCGTTTTGAACATTTTTGCAGTGCTTAATTAGGCCTGAGATGATCCCAAATTCTTGTTAACTTTGACTGTATAAAAAGCCAATCCAACGTGTAGCATCCCGTAAGCACGGTTGTGCAGTGTGCTTGGGTGACTTAACTTGTTAATGACCATAATTGCTGTTTAGTTCATTAAAGTATAAAAAAAATAGTTGATTTAAAAAAGAACCAAAACAAAAAACCAACCAACAACTAAATTAATTTCCATTAACCAAAATATATGTGAGATACAAACCTAAAACTGCCATGTTCTGATGTTTTGTGTATCAGTAAATAACAAACGGTGGTGTCATTTTTCTAGGATTTATTCAGCTCCACATCCTATTATCCACAGTACCATTGAGAGACCATTCTGACTCCTGGCTTCTGAGGGTGTATTATGCATTTAGAAACTAATGCTGAAAAAAGCATGAAGCAAATATTGGAAATACTGTAATTATAATTTATTATTCTCTCTAATCGTTTCATTTTATCCCAGTGTATAAAACATTACTTTTTTACTGGTTTCTTTTGACATAATTTAAGAACCACATTTATTTTCTACAGTGTTAAGACTTTTTTCTCAGAAATACATATCTTTGTACTACTATCCAAATGAATATATGGACACTGTGGCACACTTTAAGTATTTTTTCATTAAAAATAAATATTTGTGGTTTCACACAAATGACATCAGTCACATTTTTCACAAAGGTAACCGACTGCCTTTGCTTTTTAGGTCCCAAACTTTTCTCAGGCGTATGAAGGTTCTGACCTCACATTGGACTTGGTTTGCAGAGGGTCCAGCTGTCTTCTGCTTACCGTTATTAAATGTGTATGTGTGTGTTTGTATAATAATGTATAATAATAATAATGTATGTATATTTATATTCGAGGATCTTAAACTTGGTGAGGCGTGACAACACCAGAGCTTATAGATTAGGTTTGTATCTGAAACCGCTTCAGGAGAAGCGGAGAGAGCAGCGTTGATGAAAGGAAATAATCTCCAAATGAAACACTAAAAGGTCATTGCTGAGATTTTTAAACCTCTGGAGCAGAAGTGTGAGATATGTGGCCTCTGGCTGGGGTATTTATGATCTGTGTGGTGTATGTAGGAGCTGCAGAATCTAAGATTTTGTTTAGAAAAAGAAAAAGCAGGCTGTGGTGTTAGGGAATAGCAGTGGTCTCGGTGTAAGCAGATGTGGCAGCACCAGCGGCTCGGCGATGTGCAACCCACCCAGATGTCCCTGTTGGAAATTCGGGGGTGGAGAGAGAATATTATTCTCCTAAATACTATTATTTGGGCTGTTGCTTGTTTCTTCGGTCCATAGTGCAATGGGGAAGGAATTGGGAGGTAGGGCTGTCTGATGGGGTTGTGGATTTAGGAATAATTATGACGGGGGGGGAAATAATGCAAGGAAAAAGGAAAGGGAGGAGTGGAGGGGAATGTGAAGGGAAGAAACGGCACTGCTATAAATGTAATGAAAGAGTAACAGAGATGTTCAGAGGGTGTGAAGGGCCATGCTTCAGTGTGGATGTCTGTAAAAACTCATCCAGCCTCAGTGAACCATAACTCCTGCCTGACATGTTTACCTTGGTTGATGAACAATCATAAAAAATTAAAGTAACCCTCGAAGAGAAGAAAGCTCACCAGCTCTGCGCCAGAAAACAGGCTGTTGTTTGCATTACTGCCTTTCCAGATAAGTTGTTTAATCAGCTCTTCCTAATTAGGAGAACTTAAGCATAAAAGGAGAATCTCCTTTTATATTTAGAGCGTGCAAAGCATTTCCAAATGTGCGCGGGTTGTGGTGTTTTTCGGCTCTTTGAGTTGGATCATGTCACTGCTGTGATATCCCCTTACACTGCAGGATCTACACTAGATCTCTTTTTTTAAACTCTGTCAAGAAAAGAGGGTTAATTCCTGTAATTCTTGTGGTCTGTGTAAACTCTGCTGTTGTCCAGAACGTGTTTCAGATTTATGGGCATCGCAGCGTGCCGGGGCTCGCTGACTGCTCCCATATAAGGGATCAGATCCTGCTTTTCTGTACATACCCCTTGGTAAATCAGGGAGAAGATGGAGCTGAGAATTAAACCACATTTCTGGGAGGAGAAGGGTTGATAACGACCGATACCTGATCATCGCTTTGCATTTTTCCTGCGTTAATGGATATGTGTATGATTCTGTTCTACTTTGTAACGTGAAGCATTTACCGATCTCCAAGCTTAATTACAAAGAGAGAACATATCTTGAAAGAATAAATGGAGATTTATTCTAATAGGAATAATTCTAGTCTAAGATGTTAAGCACGCTGCGGGTAGACTTTCATCTTTTTAATCCTCAAAAGAGGTCTCTTGCAGCCATGAAGTACTAGTTAAAAACTCAATTTTGATGTTAGAAAAAGGGTTGCCCCGTTCCTGTTCTGCAGCGTAACACGGATTCAAGTAGGGTCACGTCTCTGCATGCTAAAAGTCTAAATTTCACGCTTACAACTTTCTGGTCAGATGGTCCGTGGCATAATCTAGAGCAGGAATGTCCTGGCTTCCAGTTACTGCCTTGTTTTCTCCTGCAAGAGCGATGTTTAGCTTCACAAGCTGCAGGGACTGGTGGTTTTTCTTGAGAAACCAAGATAAGGGAAATGCTCTGTGCTGCTGTTGGTCTTTGACTGATACCGAGCTGTTTTCCGAAACTTGTCCTTCAGTACTTCATCCAAATTTGGCACTTACAGCTTTTTTTGCTACGAGGTCATTTTTGCAGATAGTAATATTTAATGTTTATTATTTTTTTTACTGAATCCCATCCCTTTGCTCCTAATTGTCAAGGTTTTACTACAGCCTCCCTTGCCCTTGCTCTCTCCCTGCTTTTTATTGCCCCAGTTTCTGGAGTTAGAGGCCTTTGCTTTATTCCACCGTGACTGTGGCTGGCCAACGTCAATTATTTTATCTCCTTTCTTAATCAGTGTTGTTAGGCTGAATCGAAGCATGTTTCACATTCTCGTGCATATATTATGCCTGGTTGCCACCTCTTCCTCCTTCATGGTTTTCTGGTGCTTGTTTTCCATGCTGGTCATCAACCAAGCTGCCTCTGCTTTTAGTTTAATCAGTAGGAACTGATTTCTTTTTTTTCAAGTTGACTTCATGAATCAGTGTCACCTGTTTGCGGTCAGAGAGTGAATGTCTGTTTGTGTGCCCTCTGCCCAGCAAGTTTATCTGAAATCCGTTGTTTCTCCTTTGGCCGTTATTAGCCTGCAGATTGGGCTTCTGCCTCCGCACATTGTTTATCTGCTGAAGCTGGGCTGCAGGTGATTGACCCATGGTGTTTTATGGGGTCATCTCCCCTTCACCACCATTCATCTTTAGAGGCTTTTCCACACCAAAACGCAGTAACACTGCGACGTGCGCTGAGGTATTTTCAGTTTTCTAAGCATTCTCCTGGTCGCTTTCCATCTGCAATTGCAGCGCCCACTTCTCATTCCTTCCCCAGACTCCGTGCCTATTGTCTTTGCTGCTTGCAAAAAGCTTTAAAATCTTTTTTTTAAATGTCACCCATGTGACAATACCATTTTCTGGTTTGTTGGATGGACTTCAGCCTGATGTTTTCCTTGCATGCCATGTTCAATCTCCATTTAATAATAATTGTATGCAAAATCAAACTTTCTCTTGGTTTAGCTCTTCCCTCCCTCTTCCAGCTTCTCCCTTGCCCATTGCATTCAAGTGTTGGGTTTCCATTTCTCCTTTGATTTCTCTGGAACTGAATCTTGCTTCGTGAGTGTTTAAGCATGGCCTGCACATCCTCAAGGCTTAAAAAGTGGGAGCTTTGAAGCCCACTTGATGCCCAAGAGACACATATGGCTGCCACGATTGCTGGACAAATGTAGCTTTCAAGATGGGCTTGCATGTCCTCTCTTCACTGCATTTTTGTCCTCCATCAGTTAACTCTGGGGCTAACAAAGCATTTTCTGTCACTGTCAGTGAATTTTGGCACATTAGTGATCCAAGCTGGCCTCTCCCAAGGCTGGCTCCTTGCTCTTTGGGTTTCTCCTGCATCCCTGAAGGCCCATTTCACCCCCTCTTTGCTGTGGATGTCACAATGCTTTGTGTTTCTCCGTTTCTCCCATTGCAGAAGCGCTTAAAACCGCATGCAGGGCTCACAGTGTGTTGACACGGTCTTCTCTTCCAAGGAGTAAGAGGAGAGGTCCTAATTCATGGGGAGAAATGCCTGGCCAGCAAAGTTTCATATCGCCCGGAGGTCAGTGCTCTCTGTGCCATCAGAAAGCAAATTCCAGTATCAGCCTTTTCCCCAAAAATGCTGTCTCCTCAGCTGCAGCAGCTCTTGACTGGCAAACCTTGGCCAATCCTTTCCCCTGGAGAGCGAAAAGTCAGCGAGTCCCCTGCAGACACGAGATGTCCCAGGGGCAATGTCTTGCGGTTTTGAAACCCTCGATAATTTATTATGGGTTTCTGCCATGGATTAACTCCCCTCTTTGTTTCTCAAATAAAATAACCATTGCTTGCAGCTGCCCGTTCCCCGGTGCCTCATCAATCGTAAGCATGGACATGGGAGACGTGAAATGGCCCTGACCAGACCCTTGAGCTCCAAGGACCCCATGTCCAATTTGTTACTCTTACTGGATTTATGGCTCTTTCAGTATCTCCTTGGAAGTCCCTGTCACACTTGAATTTGTGATATCTCTTCATCTACTGCTGTCTTTCATACCTACCCGAAACTGGAAACCAGTTTGTACCACCACCGGAAAGATGGTGACGGCCCGCATGTCTCTGGTGCATTTGCACAGCTTGTGTTTTCA